AAAGCTCCGAGAGGGGTGTGTGTGTGTGTGTGTGTGTCAGATGCAACAGGTTTAATTGTCCCAGTGAGACAGACGCCAGTTGCTCAGTGTAATCATCCCCTGTGCCACTTTTTTAAACTGTTTTATTTTACAGAAATGACATGCACTCTTTTATCACAGTTGTAGAATTTTTCTGAGCCTCTCGAGTTGAATATGGATTAGGTAGCAATCAGCTGGAGGCGATTCACTGGGACATAATAATAATAATAATAATAATATTGTAACAATCCTCTCATTCGATATAATAATAATAATAATAATCCCTTCATTTGATACAGCGCCTTCTCACGTCTTCTAGACGTCGCAAAGCGCTTCACAGAATAGACTGTAAAGTGAATTGTGGATTTTGTGGGTGAAACGCAGCAGCCAATTGTGCACATCTCGCCCTGTTGTGTGTTGTTATTATTATTATTATTATTATTATTATTATTAATGCAAGCTTAGGACTGTCAAAAAGTGACAGTGTGTGGTTGTGTGTAGGGGACGGTTGGGGACACACAACAGCATCATAACATTTAAAAGCCTAAAATATTGTCATATCACCTCGAGCATATATCGTCTCTACTGACCTTAACAGGGGGTTTGGGTTGTATTCAGGCCCAATTTATTGCAGCAAGTAGTTATTAATTAAAGCAAATTACCCAAATTATGTTTTTTAATGAAAAAAGTATTTGAATGTGTTAAATAAAATAAAAAGTCATAAAATGGTCTGAAGTTTTGAAATCTACTCAAAGCTCTCTAGTGCTTCAGTGATTGACCAGTGATGCATTCGATAAAAAATATGTTGACATTAATCACAACAATATGTAAATGAGGTTTAAATCCCTGAAACCCTTCACGACCCTTCTTTATACTGCAGAAGGTTCTCGGTTTGATACAGAGATTATTAATAATAATAATCCTTACATTTGATATAGCGCCTTATCAGGTCTTCGAGACGTCTCAAAGCGCTTCACAGAATATACTGTAAAGTGAATGGACTGTATATTTTGTGGGCGCAACCAAATACTTGTGGTGTTTTTTGAGGGAAGGGGGGAGGGGATGTAGGTACTTATCAAAGGGGGGGGGGGAAAACCTTGTGAAAGTGAAATATTTGTGTGTGACTGTCTTGCTGGAGCTGTGTGGTGTGTGTGCACTTCGCTGAGACAGAGAGCAGAGAGAGGTGTTGTCGGTCGATACTTGAGAAGCAGAAAAAAAGTCATTGAGCTTTTAGTTACAACTTTTTTAATGTTGGGGGGCAACGACGTTTTGGGGATGTGGGGGGTCCTCGGAACGTTTTTTTTAAAAAAAAGCATTTTATAGCCGCGTATTTGCTGTGTGTATTTTGAAAGCAATTACAACTTTTGTGGGGGGGGAAAAATTCGAGTTTGGGAATCGAAAGTTTTTTTTAAAAGAAAGTTCACTTAAGTCTGACTTTCTGCGTGTGTCGTGTCTGTGTGTGTGTGTGCGTCTGTGTGTGTCTGTGTGTGACTCTGTGTGTGACTGTGTGTGTGTGTCTGTGTGCGACTGTGTCTGTGTGTGTCTGTGTGTGTGACTGTCTGTGTCTGTGACTGTGTGTGTGTGTGTGTGTGTGACTGTCTGTGTGTGTGACTGTGTCTGTGTGTGTGTGTGTGTCTGTGTCTGTGACTGTGTGTCTGTGTGTGTGTTGCCCGCAGAGAGAGGGAGAGAGGGACACGGGAGAGTGGGAGGAAGGGAGAGGAGAGGATTTTTATTAATGCAAAAAGTATCCGAAACGACTTCAAAGTTCTGGATTGCCGACACGCTTTAAGTCTTTGCAGAATCCGTCTTCCCTTTCCCTGCACAAGGCCTCTCTCTCTCTCTCTCTCTCTCCTCTCCCCTCTCGCTGCACATTAGCGCCCCGAGTCACTGGTTGGGCTTAAAACTACATTCAGTCAGTTGCAATGCAATGCAATGCAAAAAAAAATGAGAGAGAGAGAGAGAAAGAATGTGTGTACACAATCCACAATAAAAACTTTAGACTGGCACAGAGAGAGAGAGAGAGAAGAGAGGGAGGGAGGGAGGAGGGGGGGGGGGGGGGTGGGGTGGGGGTGGGGGGGTGCTTTTGCAATCCTCAGGAGGGAGAGAGAGGGAAACAAAAAAAAGTGCTCAAAGCCATGCATACCAGATGCGGAATATCTTCAGTGACTAATAGAGTTTATGTTGTAGCTGTGGAGCGCAGAGATAATGCGATTGGGGCGGTAGATCAGTAACTGGTGACGTCTCGGCCCTCGGGGGAGTTGGGGCTGGAGCCCGATTCCCTTTGATAAGGTCCTGGGAAGTTTATAAATCTGGAACGCCGAGCCGGGCGGGAGCTGCGCGATCGCCAGACCCGAACCGGTGGGTTTGGAGACGCTCTCCGCCTCCTCCTCCATCCCTCCCTCCCTCCCTCCATCCCCTCCCTCCATCCCCTCCATCCCTCCCTCCCTCCCCGCCCGTGCGCCCCGGGAGCTGTGTGCGCGGTGTGTGTGTGTGTGTATTAGTTACTATATCTCTTGCTGGACTTGTCTGCTCGGCTGAGTCCTTTGATGTGCACAGAGCTAAACCGCGGCTCAGATTTTTTTTTGGGGGGGGGGTGGGGGGGGGAGAGAGAGAGAGTGCGTGTGTGTGTGTGTGTGTTTGGTTTGGTGAAGAATCTCAGGAGCCGAACGAGCGAAGCGGCGAGGAATTATTTTGCTACGTGGAATGACTGAGTGAAACGTAACTTGGTGCTAAGAGAGAGGGAGAGAGAGAGAGAGAGAGAGAGAAGGGAAAAAAATAACACACAATCCAGCGGGGGGGCACCGAGAGAGAGAGAGAGAGAGAGAGAGAAAAGACCAATTACAGAGAGAGAGGAGAGAGAGGAGAGGAGAGAGGACACTTTTGTTTGAGAGCAGCGCCGCACACCCCCCGATGAATACTTCAAGTCACAGAGTGGGATCTCGTGTCGCGTTAAAGTGTCGCCGCTTCTGGTAGAGACCATCCCCCGGAGGGTTTCGCTGCTTTTGGGGAGAGGTGAAAAGATGGATGAATGGTAGGTTCATTTTTTTTTTGAACGTGTGTGTGTGTGTGTGTATGTGTATATATATATATATATTTTTTTTAGATATTTTTCAAAAAAAAAGGAAAGGTGTGTGCGGGTGTATGTGTGTGTGCATTTGACTGGTTGGAGTTTGACTGTGTCTGTGTGTCTATATATATATATGTGTGTGTGTGTGTGTGTGTGTGTGTGTGTGTCTCACTCTATCCCCTCTCTTCGGGCAGCGTTTGATGTGATGTGAGTGACATTCCTTTGAACTGAGAAAGCGGGTTTGAATGGCTGACTGGGGTGGGGGGTGACTGGGGTGGGGGGGTGACTGGGGTGGGGGGGTGACTGGGGGGGTGGGGGGTGACTGGGGGGGGTGGGGGGGGTGGATTGGAAGGTAAAACATCTCGGATCGATTGTGGATGAGTTTTTTCGTGTGCCTTATACTGTACAGAGAGAGAGAGGGAGAGGGAGGGGGGAGAGCTTAGCTTGAATGTTAATAGTGTTTAGCGTGTGCTATTTGAGGAGGTAAGTGTTATCTTGTGTTTACCCTCTCCCTCCCTCCCTCCCTCCCTCCCTCCCCTCTCTTTGAACTCAGAAGAGCTTTGAATGCCCACTTCAGGGGTCACTGGTGTGTGTGTGTGTGAGGGGAGGGAGAGGAGAGGGGGATTCGGTTTAGTTCATACACAACAACCTCCCCCCCCCCCCCCAACCTTTTCCCCCCATCTGCATCCACTAGTCGGAGGTGGGGAGCGAGGGAGAGAGAGGGGGGGGGGAGAGACTGAGATGTGGGTGCATCTGCGAGGAGACCTTATCATAACTAAAGTGACTTCCATTTCTCTGAACCTGGAGATGTGATGGGAGTTTTGGCACAAACGCCACTCGCTTTTTGCCTTCTTTGAAGTGCTTTTGCTGACGTTCAAATTGCCCCGGAGACCTTTCCCTCACATCACAACCCCAGTCCCCAGGGGTCGTTTTTACTTATCACCTGATTATTATTCTTATTAATAATATTAGTATTTATTTATTTTTGTCTTCCTCATGAAAGCTCTTCCTGCCCAGTTTCACGCTGTGCCATCGGGACTTAATCCAATTCTCTCCCTCTGCTCACTGGCTGGGTTTGGGGGGGGGGGGGGGGGGGGGAGGGAGGGAGGGGGGGGGGGGGGAGATTGTTGTCTCCATCATCAAAGCTTTGGAGATTATTCCCGATGGCTGTAGCCCTCCCCATCTGGACTTTTTTTTTAATTCTCTTGTGTGTAATCACTCCCTCTCTCTCTCTCTCTCTCACACACACACAACCAAATGGTGACTGATCTCTGAGTTTAGTGGGTGATTGAGTGGGGGGTGAGGGGTGGGGGGGGGTGGGGAGGGGGTGAGGTTGGGTTTAAAAGGTAACACAAACAGTTGAGAGGAATGTGTGAGAGCTGCCACGTGCCAGACCCGGTCCTGTCGGACCACTTCATTGCAGTCTTTTGATATTCGCTCAACAGATCGTTCGTTAACCTGTAGAGCGCAAACTTCCTCCATCCGACTCCCAACTTCTGTGGCGAAAGATCAATTGATCGGGAGTTTGAGACAGGAGGAAGTTTGAGGGTTTCCACACAAAAAAAAGTTTGATTCGCGTGTTTTTATTGGGGTTGGGGGAGTCCTGTGTGTCTCTCCCCCCCTCCTCACCCCCCCCCCCCTCCTCACCCCCCCCTCATTTTCCCCCCCAGGATGGATGGATTGCGAGAGACAGAGAGAGACAGAGCGGTTTGTGTGTGTGTTTGCCGTTCTCATGGCGTTTGAAGTTGGGCGTTTCTGGTTTTCATTAGATCGATATTTTCTTTTTTCTTTCTCTCACAGACGGAGCCTCTGATCCCCCACTGACTTGGAAGAGAGAGAGAGAGAGAGAGAGAGAGACAGAGGGAGGGAAGGGGGAGTTGATTGAGAGACTGAGAGTGAGAGAGGGAGAGAGAGAGGGAGAGAGATACAGAGGACTGCGAGAGAGGAGAGAGGGAGAGAGCTGGCACCCCGACACAGAGCCATGAGTGTGACTCTGACCTCCTGCCTTCAGGATAACACCAGCTTCAGAGAAGATGCCCCTCGCCCCCCAGTGCCGGGAGAGGAAGGGGTGGAGTGTCACATCTCCCCCTCCCACCATCGCACCAAGGGCCCCAAGGCTGTGACTTGCAACCCGAGGAGGGATGATGATCTGGGGGAGCCCGAGGGCAGCGCCTCCCCAGATTCCCCTCTCACCCGATGGACCAAATCCCTCCATTTCCTGCTGGGAGACCAGGACGGAGCTCACCTCTTTCGGATGTTCCTGGACCGGGAAAAGTGCGTGGACACGTTGGACTTCTGGTTCGCCTGCAACGGCTTCAGGCAGATGGACTTAGGAGATCCCAAGACTGTCAGGGTGGCCAAAGCCATCCACAAGCGCTACGTGGAGAACAACTGTGTGGTGTCCCGGCAGCTGAAGCCGGCCACCAAAACCTACATCAGGGACTCCATCAAGAGGCTGCACATCGACTCAGCCATGTTCAACCAGGCTCAGACCGAGATCCAGAGCCAGATGGAGGAGAACTCCTACCAGATGTTTCTGAGCTCAGATATCTACCTGGAGTATGTGCGGACCGGGGGGGAGAGCTCGCCCTTTGCGGGCAGCGCTGAGCTGGGCGGCATGAGGTTGGTGTGCGGGTATCTGCCCACCCTCAACGAGGAGGAGGAATGGCATTGCTCTGAGCTCAAGAACAAGAAGCTGCCCGCGGGCTGCGGCCTCCCGGCTGCCCGGTGCACGGAGGGGAGCGGTGGGAAGGGCTACAGGTAAGAGGTGTGAGAGGTACAGCCTCATTCAGTGTGGGAGAGGGACACACACACACACACACACACACACACACACACACACACGGGCGAAGTGTAGCCAATGCCCATCTTACTGTCAAGTGGCGCTTCGGTGGGACCTCGCCTCGCCACCGCCCCCCGCGGCCGCTGCGGGTACCGCAGCCACTCACACACCACACAGTGTCCAAAGTCCCGAACTGATTCATTCATCCGCCTGGTGTTTGGCTACATCTGCTGTCGGGAGCGCTGTTTGCTTATAATAATATAATAATAAATGTTTTATGTGCGTGTGTGTGTGTGTATATATATATATATTGCATTTTGCATTTGATGTAGCGCCTTATCACGTCGTTGAGGCGCCTCGCAGCTTATACCGTAAAATGCAGCGACTGTATTTTGTGGGCGAAACTTAACGAGACGTTTGACCAGTCGTCTTGTCGAGAGCTCGCTCAGGGGCCAGTCTCGAGGGCGATAAGTTTGCCTGAGGCTTTAAAGTTGCGTCCACCCCCGATCAAGTTTGTTGATCCTTGATTACAGTGGGGGCTGATCGGTGACAGACAGACAGCAAGTGAAGTGCCTCCAGCATTTGACAGGAATATTTATGCGAAGTGTCCAGTGGAACAAGGGTGGCCTGGGTGGGGGCAGAGTAAGCACCTTAAGCAGATAATAATAAGCCTTGCATTTGATACAGCGCTTTATGTAGTTGAGACGTCTCAAAGCGCTTCACAGGATACTGTGTACAGTGGAGTGACTGTGTTTTTGTGGGTGAAACACGTCAGCCAGTTGCACACAGTGACATCCCTCAAACAACCATGGCGTGAATAACCCATTTTATTTGTTGATAGGGTGGAGGGTGCGTGAGAGACAAGAGGAGGGAGAGCAAGGGAGCGTGAGAGAGAGAGAGAGAGAGAGATGGGGGGGATGGGGGAGATAGAAACATAGAAAGTCCGCAGGTGAAATGAGTTAGTGTTGATGCCACACCCAATGCAGAGAGAGCCCCAAAGGCCCTCCCTGTTGCAATTGGAGGCACCAGATAATAGGAGACTGCAGAGCATTGGGCAAGTGGCGTTTGACAGCTGAGAAAAAGGGGGGAACATTACCGTGTGTGGAATGTCCTCGCTGAGGGCGGCTGGAAGCAAAGTGATGCAGAGCAGGGCAGAGTAATCAGGTCATATGGGTACAATTACTGTAATGTGGTCTGTAAGTCAGAGCATAATCACAGAAAAACAACCTCACTCAGGTTTCTGAAGGCCCACTTTTTTTATTTAAACAGCTTTTTTTTTAAAAAACAAAACAACCTTATTAAATCAAAATTGGAAAGCGAAAAGTTATAGGTTTTAAAAAGTAGAGAATCATTTAGCTGTGTGTGTGTGTGTGTTGAGAGAGAGAGAGTTTGTGTGTGATTGTGGGACTGTGTGTGTGTGATTGTGTGTGGGTGGGGGAGAGTGTCTGGCCTCAGGGAAATGGTGGGAATAGTGTTTCATTTTCAGAATAACAACTTTTTGCAGAGAGGCAACAGGCAGAAAGTTTAAAGAGTAAATAAATGATAGCTTTCCCTGAGACACAAGCTTTAAACTCACACTGGGTTTCAAACTGATGGAGAGTTGTTAAAGGGCGCTTTGATAAGATGTTAAAAAAACTGCAGGGATTTCCCCCCCCCACCATACACACATACATACACACACACACACACACACATAGACCCAGACACACACATACACACACACGTGTCTATTCCTCATTACAATGTGATGGGGCTGGGAAGGTTACAACTCTTTCTTCTCTCTCACAGGCAGAGAGAATCATGTCACCCACACTCTTCTACTTGCACTGACTGATCCCAGACAGTAAAATCTTTCATGAAAAAAAGCCTCTGCTCTTTTATGTTGTAATTTAGTGCCTATCAGAAGCATGTGGAACTAATCTAGCCCCAAGATCCAGATTCTTTCTTGTGCCTCTTCAGCAACTTTTGGAAGTCACTCTTCTCTCTCTCTCTCTCTCTCTCTATCTGCCTCTCTTCCTTTTTTTCTCTCTCGCTTTCTCTCCTCTTTTTCGCTCTTTCTCCTTTCCCTCTCTCTCCTTTCCCCCCCCCCCCTCTCTCCTTCGTCTCTCTCCTGTTCCTCTGTCTCTCACTCTATATTCTAATTGTAATCACTTGACAGAAATGTAGCATGCTTTTAAAGAATGTGCCGCTGCTAAACTGCTAAATACCTGCTCTTTGAAAGCAGGCCTCCAGTGAAGCAGAGGTCAGCCAGGACCGGGGCCGAAACTTTAGTCATGCTGGTAGTTCCCCACAGCCCTCTCTGCAGTCGGCCTATCTCACTGAAGAGGCCCTTATATCCCTCTTTCATTGCCTGCGTCTTAAAGCAGTCACCCTCCCTCCCCCCTCCCCACCCGCCTGCATCTAGTGAAACAGTGGAATGCATCGCAGTGGGACAGAATGTTTGCGAGGGAGAGAAACACACACACAAAGTTAGGCAGCCCTGTTGTGGGAGGTCGAAAGTGGTGGTGGGAGTGGGGGGGGGAAATCCACAGGTCCGAGCGAAACAAAGGGTTGAGAGACGGAGCGAGTGGAAAGGGCTGCCAAACATTAGGACAGCTGTGAGGCTGACTTAAATCAAGCCTGCCCAGGCTAATCGGAAGCACACTGTGGGGGCTGGGAAAAGATGAAAGGTTTCTGAGCGCCCGTCACATTCCAGAGCCTCATGTCTGGTGTAAATGACTCCCAATTATTACAATCAGGAAAACCCTCAGCGAGAGAGAGAGAGAGAGAGAAAAGGAGATGAGTTTCATTTCCCCTTTGAAACAACAATTCGGAACCAAATTCTTTTCCAGCTTCATTGCTGATGGGGTTTAAACTGGAGCAACTTTTATCAAAGCACTTTTGTTTTTTACCCACTAACGAATGATGTCCAGCTCTTTAAGAGGGTTCTATGTAAATTCAGGAAAACACTGGCAATGTTTTCCCTTTTTCTCTCTCCCCCCCCCCCCCCCCGAAAGGCACTGACCCCGGGTTGTGTGTTAATAGAGGAGAGAGGAATCCTGCAGATTTGACCCATGTTCAAACACTTGCACCATCCAGCAGCCGTCTCTATGTGGTGATCAGGAGCTAGTTTGATTTTAATTCTTTCTCTTACCACCCCCCCCCCCCCCCCACCCCCACTAACTCAGGGATACTGACACTGGTCATACATCTATTACCCCTAATGTGGTTGAGATTAATTAACTAACTCACTGCGGCGCAGGCACAAAACTTGGCATTTTCCTCACCAGTGGTTCTTACCAACTGAGGAATTTTAGAGGAATTGGTTGTTGTTTTTACCCCCCCCCCCCCAATATGACATTACCCTGCAAATGCCAGTGTAATCACAGTCTAGAGATCAATTTGATAATACAACAATGACAACTTGGATTTATATCGTGACCTTCACCCGTAGCAACGTCTTGGAGCATTTACTGATTACACTAATTCATAATAATCCTTGCATTTGATATCACACCTTTATCTTGTCGAAGTAATTTTTACTGTGAAGTGTAGTGACTGTGTGTAGGGGAAAGCAACAGCCAATGCAATGTACAGCCAAGGCCGCAGTATTGGATACTGTCTGTATCTTCCTCCCTCTTATTATCTTTTTTTAATGACATAAACAGCAGTGAATGGGTGGTGGGGGGGTGCATTATCATATGCAGTTGTTTCCGTTTAGATTTTACAGTTTTATCGTAATAATAATCCTTGCATTTGATATAGTGCCGGAAAAAGCACTTCATATGATATAGTGTAAAGTGGAGCGGCTGTGTGTTTTGTGGAGTGAGTGGCCAATTTTATTTGGGGGGATTGTTGGCCAGGCAAACGGGAGATGGAAACTCCATTCCCTTTTCGGATAACGCCATAGACTCTTTAACATGCACCTAAACAGGCAGATGGTACCATGGTTTAGCGTCTTATCTGAAGGATCACACCTCCGACAATGCAATACACCCCCAGTGCCGCACTGGGGCATCAGTTTAGACCATGCGATTACAAGCCACAACGTGGGGGCTTGAATCCACAACCTTCTGACTTGGAGGCGAGGGCGCTACCACTACGACAGGCTGACATCGATGGTCACTGTGCTATTTGCTGGCTCACTTCAGTGAGTGATTAGCACTGGAAACAACACCTCAGCTTGATGACCAGCGATTAACATGCAGTTTGTGACCAGAAATGAACACCAGCTTTATGCACCGACGCAATTGGGCTGCCGCGTTTCACCCACAAAATACACAGTCAATCCACTTTACTGCAAATCCTGTGAAGCGCTTTGAGACGTCTCGAAGACATGATAAGGCGCTTTATCAAATGCAAGGATTATTATTATTATCATTGTCAAAAAATTCAGGGATTTTTTTGGGGAGAGACATGGAAATCAGACAGCGAGTGGTTTAGGAAGATTATATCTGTATAATTCAGGTTAGTCAGACCCCACCACTGTTAAGTGCTTCAAAACGCCTCCTCCCGTGAAGGGTGCTCTGTCAGTGGAAGTTGCTGTAGTAGTTGTTGTTGGTACAATGTATAATAAAATGACCTGACAGTGACAATGTGTGTGTATAGTGGGTTAATTCATGTATTGCATGTGTATGGCTCCCACTCTTGGGTGGGGGGAGGGGGTCTGCATTCAGCTGTTTAGTTCAGTGCTGTGTTAATGCTGTGGAGGGTCCCTAAGCTCTGAGATCTCCTCTAACCTCGCTGGGCAGCCTGGCACCCAGTGCCGGGGTCTCTTCTCATCCTCTGCTGTTCTCTTGGAACTGCAGTTTATGAGTCATTTGGGACCTGATGTACAGTAGGGACAGTGTAGCTTGGAAGATCCAGGCAATTTTGGATCTAAGGTTCCCGAAGCTTCCCACTCTGTCGCAGACTAATCCATACAGAATCAATTGTCACGAACACCTCCATCATTGTAGCATGTGATTACCAGATGGACCTTGATACATTTTGGTCTAACAATTCCTATGTTCCTATGTATTCCTGCCCAAAGGGAGTGTTGTGCCGTTTTCCAGGTGAGTTGCCTAGCAGCCGCCTGGCGGAGAGGAGAGCAAAGGCGAGACTAAGACTGGCATTGGCTGGAACTGGTGAAGGGAGTCAATTCTTGGCATTAGCTGTTTATCCGGAGTGTATGGTCTAGGGAGTTGTTTCTCTCCTCCTCTCTCTCCTCCCCTGCCCTGGGGGTGGGGGTGGGTCAGTGCATATATCCCTCTGCCCGGGATCCCCACCAACCACAACATGCTGCTGAATAAGCATCCAAGATACACAGTCACTACACTTTACAGCGTATCCTGTGAAGCGCTTTGAGACTTTTCGATGACGTGATAAGGCGCTGTATCAAATGCAAGGATTATTATTATTATATTATTGTTTAACCTTGTGCTGTGTATTTTTCCCCGCGGGTTTGTTGGTAAGCACCTTGGGAACGTCCTCCCTATGTGAAAGGTGCTACAGTATATAAATGTAATTTGTTGTACTTGTTGCAAGGCTGTGAGCAGGTGTATAATGGAGCCTGATTCCTCTTTGCTGTTACAGATGCTATGGGAGGAACGGTCCCGCCAGCCCCTACCACGTTAACGTTAACTCGGGCCTGTCTCTGGCTCCCACCGGCAGCGCTAACGACAGCGAGGTCTCCAGCGATGCCATGACCGACGACACCATGTCAATGACCGACAGCAGTGTGTGAGTGTGATGCCAACTACTTTTGTTCGACACTTGGCTTTAGAGCAGTGGTGGGCAACCTCTTTGTGTGGGGAGGGGCAGGTGTACAGAGGTGGGTGTCTGCACAGTGTCTTGCTCCCAGCCTGGCTGGGTATGTTGGATCAGGACGGCAATCCCAGGGCTGTTGCTGTTCAGGGAGAGATGTGGTGAGGGGAGCGGTGTAGTGTGGTGCTCAGCAAAGACATTCCATCACCATGTGGTTAGCATTTTTCTCAACCTCCTGTGTGTATTCCTCAGTAATGTAAACTCCTGGCCGGGTGCCAGCACAGCAGAACTGTACACAGTTACAGGCTCCTCCGATGGGTGTGGGGGGAGATGAGGTTTGGGAATTGGGCAAGATATTGGGAGGCGTCTGTGGAATGTTATCCCTTCAAGAGAAGGACAAAATCGCACCCTGAAAGCTAGAGATTGTCAAACACCCACAGGCATAGATGCATGGATGGATGGTAAAGATCAACCTTTATGGTCGGCCAACAAAATAAATGTTCCTCAGTGAATATTGTTTGATTTATGCCATAAATTGATCTATGCAACTGAGTGGACCCGGGTTCGATTCCCAGGCTGGTCAGGGCGAAACCTTAAGACAAGTTTCCTTACTCACACACACACACACACACACAAACAGCTCTACCAGTAAGTAGGAACCCGGTTGTTAAGTTTGTTAGGTAATTGATTGGTGAATCGCTTTCCGGGGGTAATAATCATTTCAAGAAAATAATTGGTCACTCAATCCACGACTGTTTGTGGGATACTGAAGTACGCAATTAGCTGCACAAAATACACAGTCACTCCGCTTTACAGTATATTCTGTGAAGCGCTTTAAGACATCTCAACGATGTGATAAGGCGCTATATCAACTGCAAGGATAATTATTATTATAATTTTATTATTATAATGTGAAGAGGAACAGCTCAGAGCAGTGGTCGATGTGAGCTGGGGCCAGGCAACTTGGGGCTCAAGGGGCAGCGATTTCCCCTCTTTTGCTGCCAGTTGTGCATCAGCTCAGCTGAGAGCAAGAACTAAAGAGCATGGGGATGAAAGGCTGGAGCTGCTTTCAGCCCCATTGTTAGCAGGGGGAAGCTTAGCAGGGATAAGAGAGTCGGAGGAGGCTTTGAAAATTACTTGCTCAAGTGAATAGGAGATGCCATCAAAGCGGGTTTGAAAAGCAGCTCCACAATAGGCAGTCAGTGTGGCTCAGGGGAGCGGGGGGTGAGGCTGGGTTCATTAAACTGATTGCGATTTATTTTTGCAGGGTGGGGGTGGGGGAAGCGAGAGGGAGGGAGGGGAGAGATCATTGCCACATGGCAACTGCGCCTGGCCAGTTGGAGTGGGAATTGGCGAGTTTTTTTTCCAAAGGTTTTTAACTTTGACTTTGGAGTTTTTTTGGTGTTAGAATCAGAAATCACAGCACAGAAGGAGGCCATTTGCCCCCCCCCCCCACCACCCCAAACTTGTGTCCCAATTCTCTTGTTGTGCTAATCCTGGCCGTTTGATGAGGCCGCTTGTCAGATTGTCGAGACATCTCGAAGTGCTTCGTAAAGTGTAGTGACCGTGTATTTTGTGGGCGAATGCAGCCGCCGGTTTGTCCGCAACAACATCCTCGCAAACAGCCGTGAAGCTGAACAAACCAGTTTTAACTCTTGAACATTACTGTCTTAGCCACAGGTGTAAAACTTGGCTTCTCTCCCCCACTCTAACTCTCCCAGTGATAGCTCAGAGCTCAGGCTCCCCTCAGAGCCAGCTCAAGTACTGAGGATGTCCATGACACCCCCTTCCCTCCTTTAGGTGCTGCTCTAGGCAGCCCTTCCAGTCTCAGCTGAACATCATCCACACCATTAAGCTCTAGGAGGCCGCAGATTCAACCCCCACCTCGCTCAGTCACTGTGAAATGCTGGCTTATGTGATGGTGCTGTTTAAATGCAAGCTGTTGTTGAGTTTGGAGACACTGTACCAGCTGTTTGACAGATGTTTCGGTGCGAGTGTCTCGCAGGCCGGGGCTAGCTGCCTGTCCTGTATAGACACTGACACTTTGCCACTCTCTCTCCGTTCCCTGTTAATGAAGGCAGAGCAGGACGCGGGTTTTATTTGTGCGAGTGTTTTTTTCTGCCTCTGTGTCTTATTTATGGATTGACTATTGACGCAGGGGAATGCTGTTTCAAGCTTCAAACATTATCTTATCTTTACAAACCCGGCGTTTGATGTTGGCGAGATCAGAGGCTTCCTTCAGAGCGCTTGCCAAATGCAGATTCTGATGAATCCATTTGCGTGTTAGTCTGAGCTGTCAACCCCCCAGCTCCAGGGCTCAAGTCAGGCACACACACACCCAGAAATGATGGAGCCTCCTTATACCCCAGCCCATCGATGTCTGCCCCCCCACCCCACCCCCCCCCCCCACATCAAATCAATACTGGAGAATCTCACATGAACTTTAATAATAATAATAATCCTTGCATTTGATATAGCGCCTTATCACGTCGTTTAGAAATTTCAAAGCGCTTCACAGAATATACTGTGAAGAGGATTTGACTGTGTATTTTGTGGGCGAAACGCAGCAACCAATTGCGAACAGCACAGTCCCCACAAACAGTCGTGGATTGAAGTGACCACATTTATTCACGACACCGGGAGAGAGAAACTCCTGTCTCTTTTCCAATAGCACCTCGGGATCTTTAAGGTCCACTTGAACAGGCAGACGGGAGCTCGGTCTAGTGTCTCATCTGAAGGATTGGGTAGTTGGTTGGTTGTTGGCCCAGGGTTGCTCGTGTTGGGTGGTTGCTACGGATGCTTGTTCGGGTTACTGGGCTGGCTTTGGGGTTGGGACAACATGTTTTGGGAGGTGTCTAGAGGTAGGTGTGTGGTTGCTGGTCAATGGGGAAGGGGTGGAGTGTAAGCCAGACACTGAGTTGACGTTGTTGTGTTTGGTTTGGCTGCAGGGATGGGATCCCTCCGTACCGGCTAAAGAAACAGCAGCAACGGGACATCCACCGCAGCGTCAGGGCCAACGGCCAAGTCGCACTACCTCACTTTCCCGTAAGTACCAGCGCAGAGCAAGGGTGGGGGCCCTCGAGTGTCACATCTCTCTGCAGCTCCCTCTCTTCCCCCCTCCCCCCCCCCCGCCACACACATCGGGGGAGTGGGTTGGTGGGCCTGGGCAGGCTGTGCTTTGATCAGCAACTGACGGCATTAGCCTGGGCTGCACTGACAACCTCCAGCTGAGAGATGTCTTTTTCTCTCTTCTCTCTCTCTCTCTCTCTTCTCTCTCTCTCTCACACACACACACACACACACATATCAGTCCTGTAGCTGTAGAGACTTTATATTTTATCTTGTGACGGCTCCCCCACAACTTAAAAAAGACATACGGTGGGAGGGGGGAGGTGCGGGGGACAGTGGTTGGGTGGGGGAAACCCTGATGGTGATCCTGCCGGTTATCTCTCTCGCTCTCTCTCTGTGATGAGGGCTCCCTCTGCCTCCTTGTCCTCCTCGACCTCTCTGCTGCCTTCGACACTGTCGACCACTCCATCCTCTTACACCGCCTCTCCTCTTTACTCAATCTTCGCGGACCTGCCGTTGCCTGGTTCGATTCCTATCTCTCTCACCGTCTCCACTTGTTGCCTCTAACGGTTTTGGCTCCAGTCCCCGCACTGTCACATCTGGCGTCCCCCAGGGCTCTGTCCTTGGCCCTCTCCTCTTTAATATCTCCATGCTCCCCCTCGGTGACATCATCCGCAGACATGGAGTCAACTTCCATATGTATGCGGATGACACCCAACTCTATCTTTCTGCCTCCACTCTCAACACCAGGACCACTGCTGTCCTGACAGACTGTCTGTCGGACATCAAGTCCTGGATGAGGGCAAACTTCCTACAGTTAAGGCGCTTCTGAATGCCTCGCGCCAGCGCCTCAGCATCTCAGGCTCTGGCAACATCAACCTCCATGGTTGCACACTACAACTCACCAGCAGTCAGGAACCCGGGTGTCTTGTTCGACCCTCAACTATCTTTTCTCCACCACACTCACACCGCCTCTCCCACCCCCCCTCCCTCTCTCTCTCTATCTCACGCACAGAGAACACATCGCCTTCCCAAGGAAATGACACCTGTGGAGCCGGCGGCCTTTGCCGGGGAGCTGATCGCTCGGCTCCGAAAACTCAAGGAGGAGAGAGACTCACTGGAGAGCCTGGAGGAGAGGCTACAGCAGCTGAAAGCGGTGAGAACATCGCTGCCCTAACTCTCCCCCTCGTCCCCCCAACCCTTGCCCATGCCCCCTAACCTTTCCCCTCACCCTTCCCCCCCCAAACCCTCGCTCCCCCAACCCTTGTTTTATTCCACTTGCTGTGTAACTGACCCCTCAGTGATACCAACCACAACAACACCTCTGTAGGAACCTGGTTGTTAGACGATTGGCGGATCACTTTTCCGGGGGTTATAATCTCTTTCCCCCCCACTCCCATAATAATTTAGTCACTCAATCCACGATTGTTTGTGGGACACTGTGTGCGCAATCAGCTGCCCATCTTTCGCCCATAAATACACAGTCATTCCACTTTACAGCATATCCTGTGAAGCACTTTGAGACGTCTCGATGACGTGATCAGGAGTTACATCAAATGCAGGGATTATTGTTATTATTATTAAACTGTAGTTTGTGTGTAACCCCCAGGAGGAGCTGGAAGTCCCCGCGCTGGCAGTTGTGCCGGTGAAGGTGCCGAGTGAGGGTGAAATGCCTCCGTCGCACCCTCCGCACTCGCTTCCACTGCTGGGGGCCGGCAGCCATGAGGAAGACCCTCAGGCCATCCTGGACGACCACCTGAGCCGCGTGCTGAAGACCCCCGGCTGCCAGTCGCCGGGTGTGGCCAAGCACTCGCCCCGCTCTCGATCCCCGGACCCCCCGCGGACCCTCAAACCCCAGCCTGGACCCCCGGCCCGAGGCTTCACCGGGAAACCAGTCGGCAAGTCCGTCCATCACCATTACGTCCATCACCACGCTGGCCCCAAGAGCAAAGAGCAGATCGAGGCCGAGGCAGCTCAGAGGGTCCAGTGTCTGTGCCCGGCCTCCGCAGATTACTGCTCCTTCCTCAAGTGCCAACCGCACCCCAAGACCATGGACAACAGCCACCAGCAGGGGGAGCCATTCGGGTAAGGCCGAGAGACGGAAGCTCCCCGTGCATTCGCCTCCGCAACACAGCGCAGAGTCACTACACCTTACACACACACACATGCACACGCACACAGTCACTACACCACACACACACAAACACAGTCACTGCACCACACACACAGTCACTACACCACACACGCAGTCGCTACACCACACACACACAGTCACTACACCACAAGCACAAGCACAGTCACTTCACCACACAGTCACTACACCTGTCAGTGACGTTTGGTGTATTTGGCAGGAGCAGGAGTGGGTCACTAGCCCGGAGATGCACGCGGAGCGTGGAGCTGAGCGAGGCTCCCCCCAGCCCCCAGCCCCCCGGCGAGGAGAGCGACCGAGCACACAACGTGTGGCAGTGGGTCCTGGAGAGCGAGAGGCCGTCCGGCAAACACAGAGCTCACAGGTACCCGCACTCTCACTCTCTCACACTCTCGATCTCTCTCAAACTCTTGATCTCTCTCTCGGTAAAATCAGGGCGAGTGGGGTGGGAGGGTGACGGTGAGGCACAGAACGAGACTAAAAGTCACCTCTTGACTGGGTGCGTTCGCTCCGCCAACTCTGCTTTTGTTGGTGACTGAACAATGAGGAGTTTGCCAAGGTGGGGGCTGGAGTCGAGGGAGGGGGCGAGGCGGAGGGGCTCTGGGATGGAGTTCCGGAGGGTGTGGGCAGAGAGGCTGAGTGGTAAAGTGGGAGGGCTGCGGACATGGGATGCAAGTTGTGAAAAGTTACCAACTCTCTCTCTCTCTTCCTTCCCCCGCCCACCCCGCCCGCAGCGCCCAGGTGACGAAGCGAAGCAGCGTGCCGGACGTGGGGAGAGCAGTGTGCGGGGGCCGGCAGCACGGTAACGGTGCCCACCAGCGGGCGGTGGTCCTGCCCTGTCACCCCTTCATCCAGGACCCCGCCATGCCCCCCCTGCCCCCGCCAAACACCCTGGCCCAGCTCGAGGAAGCCCGGCGACGGCTGGAGGAGGACAGGAAAAGCTCCAAAGTCCAGAGACAGAGGTCAGTATCTCCCCTCCCCCCTGCTCCAGCCCCCTCTCCCATTCCCCCTCCTCCATCCCAGGAGTCCCGTAGTTTAGTGGTTAGAGCGCTCGCCTCGCAGACGAGAGGACCCGGGTTCAATGCCCGGGCAGGTCGGTTGCGAAACCTTAGGCAAGTTTCCTTACTCCTCACGCCTTGCGGTAGGAACCCACTGGTTAGTCGATTGGGGGTTCGCTTTCCCGGGGTAAATAAATAAAAGAAAATCCGTCTGTCTGTGGGACACTGACCCCTATGCGCAAATTGGCTGCCCCGCATTTTGCCCACAAAATACACAAGTCAATTCACTTTACGCACACGCACAGCACACACACATCCAGCAGCTTCAGGTGAACAGAGTTGGGCTGATCACCGGGTGTGGGGGGGGGGTTGGAGTTTAAAGGAGTTGGGGGTCCTGCGGGAGGGGTGAAGGGTCCGTGCTGACCGCCTGCTCGTCTCCCATTCTCAGACACTCGTCAGCGACGCTGCAGCGAGACCGAAGCCACGGAGTCCTGGTGCCGGGAGGGAACCCGTCCCCAGCCAACACCGCGCTCACACCGTTCACTGACGAGTGAGTACCACAGAGCCTCGGGCACCAGCCTGCGCGGTGTCACATTGCTGTTTATTTCACCGAGTGTGTGACACGTGTGCACAAGGATAAGAGAGTGGAATTGGGGCAACTGCCGTCACTCTGTGTCTGAGGGAGAACTTGGTTCAAACAGCCTGAAAGGCTAAAATAATGAAAGTCTCTCTAGCGTTCTCTTTCTCTCTCTCGCTCTCTCTCTTCATCTGTGCCGATGGCTTGTTTGAAGTGGGGGCTGGGGCCGAGCCGAGGTGGCTGTTAATTGACTGACCTCAACTCCGGCAGCTGCTGCTCTTGAGCACGAGGAGCTGAGATGTGAGGCCGGACTGCAGCCTCGTCGACTCTTTGATGTACGAGGTGTACGTTTTCCGGCACACAAAAAAAACCACCACCGCCACCAGAGCTCGAAACCGAGGCAACTCGGAGCAGGGAGGGAGCTGTCTGTTCTCTCCCTAACCCTAACCCACCCTGAGATCGTGTGATTAAATATATGTCTCGTGAATAAAATCGTTGCTTTTTTTTCTAAAACGGTATCAGAGATGATTGGATCCCGGCACAACTTTTAACCCCAAACCCTCCCGCCTTTCTTCCTCTTACTCACCCCCCCACCCCCCTCCACTTCCTCCCTCCCCCCCGCACACCCCCCGGGGCTAGAGTTGATGTTTGGTTCTCGACAGTGATGGAGTTGGAGCCTGTGACTCGGCCCTTGTGCATTTCTGGGCTGTGTGCGATTGGCTCACGGCCTGTACGGTTCTCTCTCTCCCCAGGTGTAAAGCACCAAAGAAGCAGCTGCTCACTCACCTGCCGCTGCCCAGTGAGCTGATCGTCACCTACTTTTTCTGTGGCGAGGACATTCCCTACAGGAGGATGATGAAGGGCAACAGCCTGACGTTGGGTCACTTTAAGGAACAACTTCGGAGGAAAGGGAACTACAGGTACCGACCGGCCTCTCACACTCAGTGCGGGGGGGGGGTGGGGGAGTGTAAGACTCTCAGCCAGTGGAGGCTGTGTGTTTGTATGGGAAGGGATGGGGTGGTGGGGTGGGGAACGAGGTTCAGTTACAGAGTGCAGTCACACTACACCCCCTTGTGGTGCCCTTTGCCAGATCACACTCCGCATCGCTCCAGGGCAGTGTCGGGGTGAAGCATTGTGTTACCACAGGCGTCGCCCTTCGGATCGCACGTCAGGTTGGAAGCTGAGCTGCTCTGAGATCTCTGTCCGTTGTTCCTCCCTCATTGGTCCCTCAGCCTCTTTGCTGGGTGGCAGAGACGTGGACCTTCCTGCTTCTCACAGTCCGCAGACGTGACTGCTGCTCTGCAGGGCAGAGCTCGAGGCTAAAAATTTGGCTTCAATTTATCAAGTGCATCCATCGTACAACAACAACTGTCAGAGGACAGGAAAATCAGCCAGAATTCCCTGTTCCTGATCGCTGGCCAGAGGTAACCCCCTCCACCCCCCGCAGTCTAATAAGCTGCTGACACTCGCTGCCATGTGTCTCGAGTGATGGATGTTTGAGGAGGGAACCAGGGGGGTGTAAGTCCACAGTGAGGTGCAAATTGGAGGGGGCTTTACCGGAGAGAGTAACAACTGCACCCGGTGAACTGAGGGTAAGGGGAGCTTCTCTCTCTCTCTCCCTCTAAGGCTCATGCAGTTAATTTCTTGCACATCAAAGCTGCTGCCTGCAATATAACCGCAGGGCACAGAGGGGGGGGCAGCAAATGGTAACCAATCCTGTGGATATGGTAATGGCTTCATGGGGGGGCAAAGAGCAGACATTCACTGATGTGTTGAGTCCGCACATCAAACAGGAGGCAATGGCTGGCAGTACATTGTGGTGGTGGGGGGGAAAGTTAATTAGGTTAAGGTTTTCTTTGGCTGCATTGCTCAGGACTATGATGTGACCATCTCTCTCTCTCTCTCTCTCTCTCTCAGGTACTATTTCAAACGAGCGAGTGATGAGTTTGACTGTGGAGCGGTGTTTGAGGAGATTTGGAGCGACGAAGCCAAACTGCCCATGTACCACGGGAAGATCCTAGGAAAAGTGGAGCGGTTCGATTAAATTGTTTATATATAAAATATATATATATATATTCAGGACAAAGTACAACCGATGTGGAGATAGAAGGAAAGTAAGCAAGTGACTGAACTTGGACTCAGACACAAGCAGCAACTTTGCCTCTTGCCGACTTCACGTCTCAGCAAGCGGTGGGTGGGTGAAGAGGGAATCGGGGGGGATTGAAGACCATTGGATTGGGCTGTTCGCTATTTAAAAGATCTCTTGTGTACAAAGATACTTCCCTACGGTACTCCACTCACGTACATCACCACATGTTTATAGATCCCTCTCAGCTCGGTAACCTTACGCCCTGATATTTATTGAATGTGTTGCTATCTCCTGTGTCCAGTCTGGATGTGTTGTGGGGCGTGTAGGTGTGAACCATGTCTGTCATTGAGTCAGTTTGTAAGAACAGCTCCTCCTTCCCATCTCCTTCCTCCCCCCCCCTTCTCCCGCTGTAGTCGTCCCAATAACTCCCGTGAGGCTGGGTTGGCCTAGGCTGGTTGGGTTCGGATGTTCAATGCTAGGCTGGGTTGGGTTGTCCTTTGTTAGGCTGAGTTGGGTTGGGTTGTCCTATTGCTGGGTTGGGTTGGGAGCTGTGGATTTTCTGGCCACTCGCTCGCGTGCCGGGGACCATTGTCTTAATAACCTGTTGCTGCTTTTATTTGTACGTGAACCACGACGTCTTAATGGTCTTGCAAAAAATGGCCACAGCGTTGAGCTGTGCTGATCTTCCATTTGCCATTTCCTGTCGAGTCCAGTGCCTTTCAGGGCCAGAAAATCCACAGAAATCTCCGCCCCCCCCCCACCTCTCCCACACACACACACTCCTGTCCTCTCACCACCCAATGCTTCGGAGAGGAAATGGGAAGGGTCGAGGGGGGCGGGAGAACGGGAGCCTATTGCCCCCAATCAACTAACTGCTCCACCCCCCCTCAATTGCGGTGTGAGATTCAGTCTGGGAGCTTTGTCTGTCGGGCGCTATTTCTCTTCGTATCTGGGACGAGATATGATGGGGGGGGGGGTCACATGGGGGGGAAGGAAGTCCCATTGATCCCACCCCCCAAACAAATGAAATCTCACCATGTTAACGGCGCTGTATGAGGAGATTCCCCAGGAATGTGTTTGGGAGATGAGCGTAGCCTGTATGATAGCTGTGTACATAGTGAGAGTTTTATACACTTATCGCCAGTGTTATTTAAACAGTACCTGTGCCTCCGCATGGCGTTACTGCCGTGTTATTATCCTGACTTTAGGGTCTAATCTTCCCTTTGTTACGAAGGGGTTTATTGTATAAAAATATTTTTATGCTTTCTATGAGTATCGTAATCATGTTTCGCCATGACCATTCTGTTCGTTCGACCTTCTGTAAATTATGCATCATAAAGAGTTTTTTTTGATTTAAGAAAAAAATACTTGGTACAATAATTATTCAGAGATGTAACCTTTATTAAAAATTTATATTTTTCAAATGAAACTTTCGGGCTGTGACTTTTCCAATCGGTTGAGGACAGGGCCCCGAGTTCCGCCGAGTCTTAGCCTGCGAGGCTTTTTTTCGTTGTGCCTTAAAACTGAATACTTATGTGTCAGCCTGGCTCAGTGGTAGTGCTCTCTTGTCTCCGAGTCAGAAGGTTGTGGGTTCAAGCCCCACTTAGGGACTTGGAATCGCATAGTCTCAGCTGACGCTCCAATGCAGTGCTGGGGGTGGGGGGGGGGGATTGCATTGTTGGAGATGCCGTCCTTTGGCTGATACATTAAACCGAGCTCCCGTCTGCCTGTTCCGGTGAATGTTAAAGACCCTGCGGTGCTATTTGAAAAGAGAAGGGAGTTTCTCTCTCTCTCCTGGTGTCCTGGGCAACAATCCCCCAAAAGAAGTGGGTCGCTCACTCCATGGCTGTTTGTGTGACGTTGCTGTGCGCAAACCCACTGCTGCATCTCACCCCACCCACAAAATACAAAATGAGGCCATTAATCTGGGTTTTATTGAGAACAGCGGAGGATGGGCGGGGTGGGGGGTGGGGAGGGGATGTCTGGGAGTTTAGAAAAGTCCTAACACGGAGCAGGGTTTGGGGGCAGGAGCCGCTCACTACACAGGCAACAAAGAGCTGTGACTCGGTAGCTCGATCAGTCACGTACTGTGTACCCTGCCCACCCCCATCTTGTCTGATCACCATCTTTGGTCAAATGCGCTGTGAAAACTGAGACAACGATTAACCCCGATGGTGGCGGCATCTCCGATCTGAAGATGACACACGTTACTGAGACACAACAAGCGATACCATCAGAGAGGGAACTGAGAGGACAAGAGCAGGTTATAATGGAAGTTTTGTGTGCAATAAGTGAGACTATTCATTGGGGTGGGGGGTGGGCTCTGGGGGCCTACCTTGGGTGAGGGGCACTATATATATAAATGCAAGTTGTTGTTGGAAGGAAACTTGGCTCAGGTTTCGCCCTGCCCGGGAATCGAACTTGGGTCCTCTCGCTTGCGAGGCGAGTGCTCTAACTAACTACTAGCTACAGGACTCCGCTTTGTAGAAACAGAGAGGGAGAGAGACTCCTAAACAACTCCTCTTAACCAGCGTTAACGTGCGCCAGGCTCGTGGAAAAGCAGGAAGGGATTTTTTTTTGCTCCCTGAACATCAAAAAAAAACAACATACAAAACACTTCAAAAGTTGCTCATCTCTTTCTTCAGTTAATAAATAAATCATTACTTTGTCATATCTGCTCCGAGCTGGTGGCAGCCCGCGTCTGTCTGCCTTTGATCCTGATCACTTACTGAATCAAGTGTTTCCCCCACATCAGCTTCTCCTCCGTGAAGATAAACCAGAAATAAACCGGTCTTGAGTCCTGGCCACTTTCACAGTCATTTCTTTTTATCTTGTCTCTTTGTCTGATTTGCTTTCCACTTTGAGCAAGACTACTGTGCCCCATAAAGAGCAATCTCTCCCCCTCTTCTCCGCCCTCCCTCTCTCTCCAAACCCTGCTCTCCTTCCTCTGATGACTTGGAAGATTTGGAGCTAGAACCGTGGCTGATGTTTTGCTCTCACTAGCCCAGGGACACCGAGGCCAAGTGTAACCTTAACATCTGTCGCAGGTCAGACCCTTAAGACATCATTGTGTGCCCTCCCATCCTGGGGAGGGGGAGGGCGAGGGGGACGGGGGGAGAGGGGGTTATACAGTGATCCAATCATACAGCATTGAATAATAATCAAAATAATCCTTGCATTAAATACAGTGCCTTATCACATGGTTGAGATGTCTCAGAGCGCTTCATGGGATATACTGTATCGTGGAGTGACTGTGTATTTTGTGGGCAAAACTCTAATAAGAAGAATTAAGAACTACTGTAATTTCCACAGTCCTTTAAAAAAATTAATTAAGAATTAACTAATTCCATGATAATTAAAGTTTGATTTTTTTGTACTGAACAAAAAGGACCCAAAATTGTTTGAAGCACTGGGAAGGAAACCTATCCCTGAATTCAAAGGAAGATCGGTCGTCAAAACGTTGACATGAAAACGAGGTAAAGAACGAGTCTGATTAAGGTTGGGAGATAAACTTTATTCTATATAATCTCTCTCGCTCTCTCTCCTTCTCTCGCTAAACCTAAATGACGCCTTGCACTGGTCAGGCTTTGAAGTTGCAGTTTGGTTTCGCTTCCTGTTGATGTGATGGCCCAGGTTGTGTTGTGAGATAAAGCAGTTCAGAAGATATTAAAGACATGAAAAGGCCCCGATGGCTATTTTCCTGGCACAGTTTCATGTTTTCCTCTTCCCTTAGAATTAACATTCCCCGTTGAAAGCTGCGCTGCCTGTAATCTGCTCTGTGTGAATGTGTGTGAGTGTGTGTGAGTCACCAGTGTTGGAAGCTGAGAGAGAGCTCAGCCACACATGAAAGGAAAAGCTCCAGATTACTGATAAACAACCTCTGGTCCAGCGACAGCATCACAGGCTGCGGAGTAAAGCCATCTTCAAACAACCCATCAGCGGCCTTTGTTTAATAGCTTGAAATGCCTTTTAACGGGTGTTAATGAAGAACTGTACAGTTTAAGGCTGGATTAATGTGTTGGTGATTAATTATGTCCAGCTCATCACCTGTTACACTTTCCCTTCTCCTTTTACTCTTATTATTGCCAAAGGCGGGGGGAGGGAGTGGTGGGGGTGGGGGTGGGGGGAGCCGAGACATTCTTTTAAATGTAAATTACTTTTATGTTTCTAAATCACCCACAGTCCCTGTCAGGTTTAGTTTACTTCCCCCCTCAACCCCCCCAACACACACACATAACACGCACATACATACTATACAAACACACACACATACATATACACACATACATACACACACACACACACATATATTCATACACACACGTACATACACACATACATGCATGCATACATACATACACACACCCACATACAATCATACACACACACACATACACACACACATATGCACACAGTCACCACTGCCCTATTATAAGAAAAACGAAATGTCTCCTACAGTTTATTCTGAAAGCTTTGATGTTTGATAAACAAGGGAGGAAGGTGACTGAGGAACAATGTAATCCTCTCCTCGGTACTGTCTCGGAACCCCAGCGGAGCTGTGTGACAAACTGAATCAATCAGCCCGGCACCACCCAGAGAGCCACCATTGTAATTAACTCCTCACACTGTCGCGTTCCCCGTTTGGGCCGTTTGTAAACGGGAAACACAATCACAGCTTCGGTGATCAAATGTCTGATTAATAACCTGCTCGGGAACACGCTGAAATGTACCCCTTACTGTCGTCTCCACTTGTGAGATTTATACCCATTAATCTCCCCCACCCTCCAACCCCCCCCCCCCCTTACCCCACCACCACCCCCCCACACCCCACCAGCCTCTGTCTCACCAGCGTGGAGTTATGTGGAGTCCTGTAGTGTAGTGGTTAGTGTGCTCGCCTCGCGAGCGAGAAGACCCGGGTCCGATTCCCGGATGGGGCGAAAATTTAGGAAAGTTTCCTTTCTCCACACGTCAATAGCCGGGGGGTAATAATCCCTCCCCGCAAAAATGTGGTCACTCAATCCACGACTGTTTGTGGGACGTTGCCGTGCACAATTGGCTGCTGCATTTCGCCCACAAAATACACAGTCTGTATATTCTGTGAAGCGCTTTGAGACGTCTCAACGACGTGATGAGGCTCTATATCAAATGCAGGGATTAGTATTATAAGGGGAGAATCTCTGTTGCAAGTTAGCCCAGAATTCCTGAATTCCAGGATCAGCGAAGAGCAGTTTGGGAATCCCGGGAAAAAGACTAGAAACTAATCCGTGGCTGGGAGCAGAGTGGGCCGACTCGCGGTTAACGGAGAACAACATGATACGGTCAGCGTGAGGTTCTGAGGATTTCCCCCCATGTCGGCAGGGAGAGCAGCCCGAAGCCAACACCGCAGCAGCACCCGGTTTACACGAAGCTCTTCAAAGCGTCTTCTGTCGGACGCGAGACATTGAAGTGTGAGGTGGGGGGCGTGGGGGTGGGGGAGGTGGTGTGGGGATCGCTGTGACATGGTGAATTAGTAATGGTATCGACGAGCTCTAACGGTGCCAGGTAATTACTGGGAGCTTCTGATAGGCTTCAAAGCTTTTGATTCCTGCCGACCCACAAACTCCGTGCGATCCTCCAGAAAGGGTTGATTAAACAACTCTCCCGGCAAGCTGTGGTGGTGGTTGTTGTTGTTCTTGTCGTTGTTGAGAGTTTACCTGCCCAACCATCAAATACAGTCATGAAGGAGAGCGGTGCAGGAGAGGGGAACAGAGGGGTGGGGGCTCATGTGGAGTATAAACACCCGTTGGGCCGAGTGGCGTGTTTCTGTTCCTGAGCCGTGTCAGTCTAACTGCACATCACGTTTCAAAGCTTCACTGAAGAACTCGCCTGTTGTTTCCAAAGTTAAGTTGCATGTTAAAGCCTGAAGCTGGCTGGTAGGTTGCGGCAGGCACTCAGCAGGTTGGGAGCCTGACTCCTTCACGTCCCTCCTTCAGCTCCGTGGCTGTGAACCGTGTGAAGCTCACAGTGGGGATGAGCATTGCCTCCAGATCCAGCAGTAATTGAACAGGAGAATGTGCTCGGAGCGTAGCTAATGACGGCTCCTGCCTGTTGTGCCCCGTCAGTATCTGTGCCTGAGACGTGCCGGGTCTAGACTTCCGCTGCTGATACCATTGATATTCTTTGAGGCGTGCGTTGAAGTAAATAACCTTCACAATCGCACAGGTTCAGGCTCTCAAGCTACACAGTGATCTCCAGCAGAGTGTGTGTGTGTGTACGTGTATGGATGAACCCAACGGCTCCTGTGTTTCAAGCTTCTTTATCATCGCAACGTCCCCAACCCTTAAAGGAGTTGCCTCTGCCATCTGCAACTCTCTTCCCAAACTCCCTCCGCCTTCCTCTCTCCTTCAAATCCCTTCTAATAAACATCCCCTCAACCGAGCCCCCTCCCTCCTAACTTCTCCCCACCCCACACATCCCGCTCACTCATATTTTCACTCCATCTCTATAAAGTGTTTTGAGATGTTACGTTATCCAACGTGAAAAGCGGTGAATAAGTAATGATTATTTGGGGGCATCAGAGGACAGACCCTGGTTATGGTTTAGATGGTGTGTTTGTCAGCCCGGCTCAGTGTGTGTGTGTCAGCCCGGCTCAGTCGACAGCGCTCTCACCTCTGAGTCAAAAGGTTATGGGTTCAAGCCCCCACGTCAGGACTTGAAATCACATAGTCTAAGCTGATGCTCCAATGCAGCGCTGGGGATCAAGCGCATGTGGAGTGCGGAGGAGGGGAGGGAGGAGGGAGAGAGGAGGGAGGAGGGTAGAGGGGTCAGAGGGGGAGGGGGGGAGAGAGGAGACGCTCAAACATAACAAGCAATAACTAACCAATTAACCAATAAACTCCTCCCCCCCCCCACAAAAAAAAGCATCGGAGATCAACATCAAAGCTGCACAGAAGCCGGTGGCATTTATTGAGAGAAGTGATTACAGGAGCGAGAGCAACGGCTCAAAGGGATGAGTGAAGTTAGAGAGAGAAAGAGAGAAAGCTGGAAGAAGCAAAAGGTTGTTCAGTTCTCCTGCGTCTCATCAGGAGCCAACATGAATGGGTCAGCGAGACACCAATGCCCTTGTAGGAGCAGAGTAGCTCAGCGCCTGGCGAGAACCATGGGCTGATCTTTTATCTTCCACCCGTGGTCCCAGCTCCGCTCTCAGCTGCCTGAACCCCCGTCACATTAATGACAAACCTTTGATGTTCCTCTCCACCCCAACCCCCCACCCCTTCCCTCCTCATTCAACAGAATGTTGTTTGGTTCAAAGGAAGAACAAAGACTGATTCTGGGGCTTTTAAATTATTAGCTGCCTAAGTCCTCTGTAATGATCCGGTTTGACTGAAGTGTGCAGTTTATTAACTGCATAAAGATGATATTATTAGAGGCCTGAAAGGGAGCAGCCGGCATCTTCCTTCAGTGCAAGCAGCGGGGTCTCTGAGCACTTTGATCTCAATCACTGCTAAATGTCTTTGTGAGTTGTGGCGAGCGTGGCTGAAATTAACATGAGGCCACACTAGTTATTGAGCCTCCCCCTCCCTCTCTCCCCCTCCCTTGTAAACCAGCGCTCGTTTCCTTACTTTCTGCCCTTCACTCCTCGACATCACCATATCTGAACGCACACTTGTGTAAGTTACAATGGATAATAATAATATGATAATAATCCGGGGATTTGATACATACAGCGCCTTATCATTGTCAGCCATCGAGACGTCTCAAAGCGCTTCACAGGACACACTGTACTGTAAAGTGAATTGACTGTGTGTTTTGCGGGCGAGTTACTTAACCCCTCTGTACTGTAGCGAAAAGCTCCAGGACGATTAAAACAGGTTGCGGGGCTGATGCTGATTTAGGGCGGGCGCGTCTCCGACAGTAACTGCTCTCGTTGTCGCTTGTGTTTGTGCAGCAGCAGCAGCAGCAGCAGCAACAACAACAACAACTTGGGTTTATGTAGGGTCCTGTGTTTACGTTGTTTATTTATTACACGTCTCTCCTGAAGGAGCCTCGCGTTTGGTTCCCATCACTTCCCTCGTTGGGGAAGGCTCAGTGTGTGGTGTGTGTGTGTGTGTGTGGACAGAGGAGGTCCTGCAATGAGCAGATATTCCCACCAGAGGGCAGCAACACCCCGTTCATCATTGGGATACATTGCAAAAACCTCAGTCTCACCCAATTTCCACTTCATGTCACAATGTTAACACCACCACCACAACAACTTACACTTATATGCCCCCCCCCCCCCCCTCCCACCAACCCCCTCCCCCACACGCAGGGTAGCGTCTCGGAGCGCTTAAAAAAAAATGCTCCTCCAGGATGCGGACACAGCTGCGAAGGGCAATTTCGGGACAGACACCTGACAGGAAGGACACGTTTTTGCACCAGTTATTTTTATCTCCACTGAAGGCCTGGAGTAGTGATGGGCAGCCTGTGGCCCGAGGGGTTGTTAAAAAGTGACCATCGCCCCCCCTCCACCCCCCCCCCCACCCCCCCCCCTCCCCGACTCGGACATTCGGGGGTAAGTCCATGGCATAAATCCACGACTGTTTGTGGGACGTTGCTGTGCGCAATTGGCTGCCGAGTTTCGTCCACAAAATACCCAGTCACTACACGTTACGCTACATACAATACACGCTACACTTCCTGCCTCGTTACCACGGTGAAGGTTTGATCACCCTTGTCTCGGAGTCTCGCTTATCTTTGAGTCTGAGTTTGGCTCCAGCACGATTTCCTCTCAGCTCTGAGCTGTGCCGTGGTTCAGCCCCGGCTGCGGTGACTGTGGTGCCTCATCGCTATATTCGTACTCTTGGGCAGCTCCGCTCCACTTAAACTCCCCCACACGAGGGGGCAGGGAGGGAGGGGAAGGGGGGGGGCGCTCCCAGTCTGTGCTACAGTCATTCAACCAACCCTTTTGTTGCCGGACACCAACTGATTCATATGCGAGAGAAAATGTTTTCCTTGATTATTCAATCCACAACTGTTTGTGGGACGCTGCTGTGTGCAATTGGCTGCCGCGTTTCGCCCCCACAAAATACACAGTCACTCCACTTTACAGAATATCCTGTGAAGCGCTTTGAGACGTCTCAACAACGTGATAAGTTGCTATATCAAATGCAAAGCCTATTATCGTTTATCATTAAAACAAAACTTGCGTTGTATATAGCGCTCGAGCAGGACAAATGTCTCAAAAGCTCACAGTGATTCCTGTCGGTGTAGTGACCATATTTATAGCTAAGCAAGGACACACAGACAGCCATGAGCTGAGCATCCATGGATTGGGGGAACAGATCAGGACACCAGCATCACATCAACAACAACAAAATTACATTTGTAGAGCGCCTTTCACGTCGGGAGAATCTTTGATGCCCACCTGAACAGGTCATTTACCCTTTGTCAACAACCACTTGCACTTATTTAGAGCCCTCCACGCAGGGTGGCCTCTCAGAGCTCTTAACAGTGGCGGAGTCTGATTCCAAGCTGTGGGGGGGGGGAGGGGGGAGGTGGCTGTACCTACGGCCGAAGAGGAAAGTTTTCAGGCAAGACTTGCAAAAGGGGAGAGAGGGGGCAAGGCGGAGGGATTGAGGGAGAGTGTTCCAGAGTTTTCGGGCGCAGTGGCTGAAAGCCCGACCTCCGATGATGGGGATGAGGGTGTGAGGGACGAGCAGGAGGCCAGTGCCAGTTGAGTGGAGGCACTGGGTGGTGGATTGCGGATTGAGGAGATAGGGAGGTGCCAAGGAGTGAATGGATTTGAACACAAGAGTGAGGATCTTGAAGTCGATCCATTCGATGATGGGGAGCCAGTGGAGCTTGGGCCAGAACTGGTGAGATGTGGGTACGGAGTTTGGTCTGAGTCAGTATGCGGGCAGCAGGGTTTTGAATGAGTTAGATCTTGTGAATGGTGGAGCTGGGGAGACCGGCAAGAACTGCGTTGGAGTAATCCAAGTGGGAGGTGACAAACACATGTACGAGGGTTTTGGCTGCATTTGGGGTAAGGTACAGTCGGAGCCGGGCAATGTGACAAAAGTAGAAGAAAGCGGTCTTGGTCAGGGACCAGATGTGGGGGAGGAAGGATAATTGGGGTCAAACCAGACGCCTGGGTTGCGCACTGGTTCGGTGAGTGTGAGGGAGAGCCCAGGGAGGTTGAGGAGTTCAGATCCACGGAGTGAAGAGTGAAGAGTTGGCACTGGAGGAGGCAAAGTAGGCTTGTGTGTCATCCGCCTCCATGTGGAAGTTTACCCCGTGTTTGCGGCCATGACTTTGTCTTGTCTTAAGTGCTTTGGGACGTCCTCCTGATGTGAAAGACGCTATACAAATGTACGTTGTTGTTGTTGAAGGGGGAGAAGTTTTGTCTGTCCTTCAGTCCTTCAGTCACTGAGTTTGTGAGCGCACGCTGAGCTGTGCTGAGCTGTGCTAAAACCTGCACCAAAAAGGTATCAAACTTTATTTTATTTTCAGCGTTTTTCCATTCATTTCTCAAGGAGGAAACGTTCAAATCTCGGTCATGATCTTGCCTTTGTTACCTTAGCCCCGGTGGAAAGAAGATAACTTTTTTTTCTTTCTTTTGTGCATGCAAGCAAGCAGACTAGGTTGCATTATTTCCACTTGCGGTCGGTAAAACTAGGTCATCAAGAGAGAGAGAGAGAGAGAAAGCATGTGAGGAGCGGGGCAGGAAATACCCTAACGCACAAACTTATTTCTCAAGGTTGGAGTGTTTCAGCTGTCGGTGTTGAAGGTCCGTGATGCTGCGTGTGCTCTGCCCCTTGGGCCGGGCTGGAGCTCTCCCTGTGTAGAGCCAGCAGAGCCGAGCGGAGAGGAGAGGAGAGGCGAGGCGAGGAGATGCCGGTACGTTTCGGAGAGTTCCGGAGCCTCAGCTCCCCGGAGACCATGGTCCACCTGCTCCAGATGCTCCTCACATGCATTACCTTCAGCCTGGTGGCCAGAGACGGGCCTGGGAACCCCTACTACACCTTTGCCATGTTCTCCTGGTGCTTCTCCTTCGGGGCTAGTGCTCTGATCTTCCTGCTGGAGTTCACCCAGCTCCACAGCCTCGTCTCCTTCTCCTGGAAGAACCTGCCAGTCACCGTGGCCACTTTCTCCTCCCTCATGACCATGGCCTCCTCCATCACCTACCCGCTCTTCGTGGTGTACGAAGCCCAGTGCGAGAAGGCCTGGGCCCAAATTAAATGCCACCGAATGTTGGCTGCCTCTGCCTTCTCCTGCCTGGCCTCACTGGCCTACTGTGCTGAGGTGTACATGAGCACAGGGAGAGCGGGGGAACCAGGGCGTTACATGGCCACTCCGCCCGGGATCCTGAAGGTACTCCAAGTCTTCTCAGCTTGCGTGATCTTCATGGCTTTGAGTCAACTGGAGAGCGACAAAGTCTGGGTCTACTGGTACTGCGTGGGGTTGGTGTGCGTCTCTCTCTCGCTGTCTCTCGGGGTGATCATCACCATCCTGGGCGAGTGTCGTGGCCGCTGCCCGATGCCCTTCAACCGGCTGCTGGTGGGGACCAGCGCGGCCTCGCTCCTCATGTACCTGGCGCTGGCCACTCTCTGGGGCTTGCAGCTGAGGGAAAATCAAAGCTGGGAATGCACCAGCCTGAAAGATGTCTGCCAGAGCGAGCTGGTCTCAGCCATCATGATCTTCCTCAATCTGATCTGGTACACGGCTGATTTCGTCTTCTCCATCAAGCTGATGAGGCCGTGGAGCTGAGCGAGGCATCGGGGACTAACTGATTGACTGACCACACAACATCCACAGCCTTAGCCTTCCTCACCAGGAACTCAGACAAACACAGACCCATCACGCCACCCCTGCCACGCCACATCTTGGGGTAAAGGAAAATAAAAAGACTTGCATGTTCCTAAAAACTTTTTTTTAATTATTCTATTGTATGAAAACAGTTGAAAGCGGTTTCCGGTTATTTCTGTCAAGTGTAGTAACTGTTTGTTTCGGGCCGCTTCCGTTGCCCGGAGCAGCATTACTGACATTGTGTTTGGTCAATTCTCCTGTAATAATTGCCTTTCCATTTGTTATGAAGTTTTATGTAAGGAAATGTTTTGTACGGCAAAAATATATATATATATACATAAATCTATATACATTATCTCAAAGCTTGGATCTGATAAGTGTAGGTGGGATATTGCTTTAAGAAGTAAATGGCAATTTGGTCACTCAATCCACGACTGTGTGTGGGGCACTGCTGCGCGTAACGTACCGCGTTTCACCCGCAAAATTCACAGTCAATTCGCTTTACAATATATTCTGTGAAGTGCTTTGAGACATCTCAATGACTTGATAACACCAACAAATTTTTGTACAGCGCCTTTCACATCAGGAGGCTGTCCCCAGGCGCTGTGTCAAACACAGGGATTATTATTCTGAGTACAGAGACTCGGGCAAAGCCCAAAGCCTCTGTATCACCAACAGGAAAGGCAGAAGTTGTGTTTGCAATGCAGACCTGCTCCCCGCTGATTGCCCTGCGATAGCATTGCCGAGGAGGATGCAGAATTCACTGCAGGCAAAATTCACCTGCTGAACGTTCCCAGCGACTTCTAATAATAATAATAATCCTTCCATTTGATGTAGCGCTTTCCACGTCTTCCCGACGTCTCAAAGCGCTTCACAGAATCGACTGTAAAGTGAAATGGCTGCATATTTGTGGGCGAAACGCGGCATCTCTTTTCATTGCAGAACTCACTACCCGTTTCAATGAGTTAGGGTCCATCTAAATGGCCTCCTCTTACACACAGTGACGTTATCGCAATATTGCAAGATGTCGCCACGATACCTACAATTAAGGTGCGGAAGAGAGTCAAACCCACCTCTTCCCACTGTAATTCTTTTTGCTTGCGTTTGCCGGCTGTGCCCACGAGATGGCCCCCCCACCCACGTGTCCATCGGACACTTAACCACCGAATCAGGATTTTGCAGCGCGGAAGGAGGAGGCCATTCGACCAGCCTGGCTCAGTGGTAACGCTTTCGCCGCCGAGTCAGATGGCTGTGGGTTCAAGCCCCAGGCAGGTCGGGACTTGGAATCACACGGTCTAACGCTGATGCTCCAATGCAGCTTTGAGGGGGGGGTTTGTTGCGACGGTGGAGGTGCCGGGCTTCAGATGAGGCGTTAAACCGAGGTTCCGTCTGCCTGTTCGGGTGGACGTTAAAGATCTCCTGGCTCTGTTGGTAAAGAGAAGGGAGTTTCTCTCTCCCGGTGTCCTGGCCGACAAACCCCCCCCCCCCCCCGCCCCCCCCTTTCCCCCCCAAATAAAAACTGGTCACCCCGTGGCTGTTTGTGGGGCATTTGCAAAATGACGGCTGCGTTTTTTTCCCGGAATTAAATACGGGCACTGCATTTTGGGGTGGAACGACAGCGACTCGCGCCCGGGTAGCGCCCTCCCGCGAGGGGGTTTGCGTCCCGGAGCGCTTCGAGCATTCCCGGGGCAGGGTCTCGCAGCGCAGCATATCCTGCGAAGCGCTTTGAGGCGTCTCGCGGACGTGTTCGGGCGCCGCATCAAATGCAAGGATTGTTACGGTGGTTATTATTGTGCACCAGGTGCATGGCGAGCACCAAAGGGGGCGTGGCGAACACCAAAGGGGGCGTGGCGAGCACTAAGGGGGCGTGGCGAACACCAAGGGGGCGTGACGAACACCTGGGGGGGGGGGCGTGGCGAACTCCCGGGTGACGTGTTCCCTCAACGTGCTGCGTGCGTAAGGGACGTCACTGCGCGTGAGACGACGACGGCGGCGGGGAGGGGGGGGTGGGGCTCGCGCGCGCCGCCGAAGGAGGGGGGGGCGCGTCGCGCGTCGCGCGGAGGAGTGACGGCGCGCATGCGCCCTTCGCTGCCAGGCGGCGCTGTGAGGGCGGCGCGAGCGGCGGGTGGCGGTTGCGAGGAGACGCGGCGGCGGCCGGAGGGAAGCGACGCGAGGCGAGGCGAGCGGGAGCGGGAGCGGAGCCGCACTGAGCGGGCGGCTGCCATGACAGACACTCGGGTGAGTGAGTGAGTGAGTGAGAAAGGAAGCAAGTGAGGGCCCGGGAACCTGGGTGACAGCTCTCACGAGCTCTTCCCCGTCGCCTCTCTTCCCTCCCCGGGTAACCACCCGCTGCCGGTAACTCTCTCACCTCAGCCTTTTCCGGGGGGGGACTGCTGGCGCCGTGGCCCCCGCCCGGTCCGGCCCGGCCCGGCGGGCGGGAAAGCCCCCATGTGTGTTCGCCCGCCGCTAGGCCGCTCCTCTGCCCCTCCGCGCCGACCCGCGAGCCCAGGGGACCGACCGCGGCTGAGAATAATAATAATAATAATAATAATAATAATAAAAAACAACAATAGTCATGATGTCTTTTGGCGGTTTTCGACCTCTCTCCCAGCGGTTCTGAGTGCTGACTGACACTCGCTCGCTCGCTCGCTGTTTATTTATGCCACCGCCGTATTTTTTCGATCCATATTTATTGTTATTGCTCTGTTCTATTATTATTATTGTTATTATCATTATGTTATCCGCTCCACCGCAGATTCTGTGAAGCGCCCCGAGACGTCTCAGCGGCGTGTGATAAGGCTCCGTGTCAAATGCAAGGGTTATTGATAGTGTTGTTATTGTTCTGAGAGCTGGCGTTGGCGAGGCGCCCCGTGACGAGGCTAGACTTCTTGTGTTTTTTTTTTGTTTGACACGCACTGAAAGCAAACATTCCCAGGCAACGAGGGATCCTTACAACATCTTCCCTTTCCCCCCACTCCAGGATAGAGATCTCTCTCTCTCGCTCTCTCTCTCTCTCTCTCTGCAGCCTCACCCTTGTACACTGATGCAGAGATACGAAGATTTATGTGGTTGGATTTCTTCCTCCCTACCCTACTTTTATTGCGGTTTAAGACGGGAAAGGAAAGGTGGAAACCGTCTGCCCGCAAAGGGAAAGAGTGGTCACTCTGTCCCAAAGTGAGCATCTTTATCTCACCCTCCCTGTGCGGACTCCCCCTTCGTGTGAGGTGTCACTTAAATCACTTCAATGTGCTTTTCGGTAACTTCAAAAGCGCATTATCTACACAGTTCAATCCTTTTCAGGTCATTTGGGAAGATGTCATGTTTGGAGTGGGGAAGATTGGTGAAGAATTCCACTGTCTTGAGGAGCTGGAAGTGGGGGCAAAAAGTTTTAAAAAAAGAGCTGTGAGAAATTTTGATGGTAGGACAGTGTGGAGGAAGTGTGTAGGATCATAAGATGTATGGATGGAGCTGCTGGTCTTCTACTTCTGTTTTCTTTAACAAGTCCAGTTTCCTGCTGGACTTAGTTTCCCTTCATGTAGTTGAATGTTGGGCAATAAGAGAATGTTGTTTGGAAAGATACTGAAGTAATATATCAGCACAAATCAGCACAAGGTCTGGAGAATCTGATGGACTTGCTGAGGATCAGAATAGAGAGGGGATCTTTGCCAAGATCATCAAGATTAGAATTACAAGAGCAAAAGTGTGCAGCTCCTCGGGGCAGAAGCGTGAGAGACACAGGGATTCACAAATTGGAGAGGCAGCTTCGAAAAAAGACGAGAAAGAATAACCTCTGGAAGGACAGGAAGAAAGGGGGCAGGTTGCATTATCGTAGGTGCCGTCCTTTGGGTGAGATGTTAAACTGAGGACTCATCTGCCTGTTCAGATGGATGTTAAAGATCCCATGGCATTATTCGAAAAGAGAAGGGAGTTTGTCTCCAGATGTCTTGGTCAACAATCCTCCAAATAAAATTGGTCACTCAGCTAACTTTCATTCTACAGAGAGAATCTACAGATGTTGATCTGCCTGTGAGTGAGTGGAAAAGGAGAGGGAAGGGACAATCACAACTCAAGCTTGGTCATTACGATAACCAGTGGTTCGAGTTCAAAGAAAATTAGCATTGATTGTGACAACGCAGATTCCGTCAAAAGATTCCCTCAAAAGTTCTGAATATAACATCAAGTCAGGATAGTGTCTAAAACGTATGTAAAAATAAACTGTTAGTATGATGTTGTCATATGTGGTATATACCTTCCAGTGAGTTTCAGAAAAGAATCCTATTTTAGAAATCAAAATCTTAAGTGCTTTGTGTTGGTTATCTGGATCTCCAACTGAGATAGTACTCATAATTCAATAGAAAATCTTTTACAAAAGACATTTACAAATACTGTAAATCCTTTAAGCAGGGTGGGGGGGGATGGGGACTTTTTTGTTGCCTCTGAAACAAGTTACTTGAATTGGTGGAATTTTCAGTGGTCATAATTCCATTAACTTGCCCTTGTAATATGTAGAACTCAAATGAATCAGTTTTCTAACGTGTGGACAAATGAATTCTGATAGCATTTACAGAAATATTCACAACAACAACTTGGATTTATATAGCGTCCTCCACACCTGACGGCGCGTCAGAGCGTTTCACAGTAACGGATCTCGGGACCGAGCCAGGGGAGAGCTTACCACATATGCTTACCACATATGCAATATGTAGTAATGCATATGTGGTAAGCCACCCGGCAACAGTTTGAATATACCACTACGAATTCATCTCATTAACAGTCCTGCTCCAGAACAAACACATCTTTGGACTCTGATCAACAGATTATCCAAGTTGTTTTTTTTTCAGTTTACCAGTTGCAGATGGATGCTGTTGACTTTCTGGCACAGTACAGGCATTTGAAAACCCGTCTGCAATGCACAATTGAAGAAAAACATAAAGGTGACAGATTTTTTGTTCTAGTCTGGGAGGTGCTCCCTGAACTTGATATACAGTCGGTGAGAGTGAATGTTTCACTTGCTGAGGTAGATGTGTGCTTTGCATGAGATGAATGTGATGTTTATTCTACAGGATTACTTGAGTGCATAATTTTAATTGTGAGGGAAGAGAAGTGAACTTTATGTGAAATCATCTAGAGTAGCATGTGTTGTAACTAAGAACTGTATTTTAGTAAATCATTACTTGTCTGGAGCAGCATGTTGTGGGAGGAACTCATCAGTTCTACAGTATTTCCCCATAGCTGTGGAATAAATCTTTCAAGGGTACATTGTGTAACTAACAGTCATACAGTTCTCCTTGCCCGAATCCCGGAAACTCCTATTTTTCTCATACAATGGTTGCTGAATGTGGTGTGTGAGGCCTATTTTCTGTTGTAGTTGCTAAGCTAGGCCTCATCTTCAATCCTAATGCATGCCCTTTGGTTGTTCTTCTGTAAGTGGTGTTCAGATAACTACAAGATGTGATTTTCCTTTGCTGTTTGCTATTGATGCTATTGATGAACACATTTCTGTGTAAAGTACCATGCAATTCAACCAAAAGTGAGTGTGTGAGGCCTTCCTGTTTGGCTCCCGTCAGGGCCTCCACACCTCAGGCGCTAACAGCCTCAACATCCAAGGATGCACACTCTACCTCACTGAGCCAGTCCGGAACCTTGGCATCTTGTTTGACCCTATCCTTTCTACCCAACATCCATACCATGACCCATTCTGCTTTCCCCCACCTCCGTAACATGGCCTGACTCCACCACTGTTTCACACCTCAGGCCGAAATAATGATTGTTCAGCACCTTGGGACGTCCTCCCGACGTGAAAGGCGCTATACAAATGTAATTTTGTTGTGCGTGCAGTACCATGTTTTATCTTCAGAAAGCAAGGCAACAATTTTCAAAAGTACTGCAGTTTAGTGTACTTCTAAGAATCATGAATGTCATTGTAGCTTTCTGCATTGTGGTTTCTTGCTGAGACCTTGTGAATGCATCAAATGTTCTGGTGTGACCTTATTCAATAAAAATCATGTGGTGAGGTGAGAAATTAAGCAAATAAAATAGTTCCGTAAATTGGAAGCACAAGATCCTCTTGAGCAACTTCTTTTCTTCTCCCCCCATCCCAATCCAGTGCTGAAATTACAAAGTTGTACTGACTACATATCCTCTTTATTGGGTTAATCTTGAAAACTGCATCTCATACTGCCTGTTTAAAGTGGAGCATTTCTCATTTTTTTTTCTTGCATAGTTATTTGGGCTGAAGTTAGTGTTGTACAACTTTGGTCCATGCAAAAATATCTTTCTTGTAAGTTTTACATGCCGATCGAATTGCAATGCCTGTTGAAACCGTATAGGCAGAAAATTTGTAACTTGTTTGCATGATCATCGTGCTGCTAAACCTGCTTTACGATGTTTGAGCTGGGTGTTGGCCAGGATTTGTGGGTCGATGGTCATAACTCCCAATGTAATTTTGCTCAGTAGGTGTAGACTCCATTCACACCCAGTCTCTTGAAGCAATTTGAAAAAGAACAAAATTGATGGATATTTACAATGTTGTGAAAATCAGGATAATTTGATGAGTCTGCCTTAATTTAACAAATGAATGGTAATGGAAACTGAGATGGATTCTTGACCCTCCTTGACTTTGGGTTTGGATGATGGGTTTTCATGTTCCACAAGGGTTTAGCTCGATGGTTAAAAGGAGTCTTGAATTATTCAAGGAAGTGAGTGGCATTGAACTACACTCACACACCTACTAATGGTTGGATTAATGCTAACAGAACTCTTTGGAACAAGCTTGCTAATCTTGTGCAATTGTAATTGTGTATTTTGTAACTGAAGTTGATTTAAAGAATGTATAGTTTATATATGCTCACCTGTTGAGCTTTGTTCCTTTCCTATGGTCCTGCAAATTTGAGTCAGGAGTCGTGTGAATGCACAAAGCAAATTGCTAAAATTAATTTCTACTTTTTAAGAATATTCATGGATGGATTAGGCTGTGATAAATTGTTCAATTGTGTAGATTTTAGTAAATAATGCAAGGATTATTATTTAACCCTTTGCTTCTTGTTTTAATGTACCGTTAATTGTGATTACACATAATTCTAGACTCTGACATGACTTAACATTTCAGTTGATCTATCGTATCTTATTTTCCGTTTGCTAAATTTATAAAGCTTTTTTGCAGTAGCTGTTACATTGACCTCTGTGTTACTGCAAATTCAGCTTTCATGCTTTTGCTCAGGTCTTTGTGTGATGAGAGCTTGGGAGAGGCCAGAATTATATGTGTGAACAATTTGAATAGAGAGGTAATCTTTGGTCATTGTGGAGAACTGATACTCTGGTTAGTGTGGATTATTTTTATTTTACAAAAAAATTTCAGACTCAGCATCTGCCAACAAGAAATATGTTTGACCACAGAGAGGGATTAGCTTGCTGGATTCTAGTGTAGAAACTATTGGTAAACTGTTTACCTGGATCTCCTCCAGGTGGATGAAACTTCATTTCCCTGCATGTCTGCTGTAACTAATCTCACTGTATTGGTTTTCAGACCTTGAAACCTGATTCCTGAAGTACAGATAGGTCTTGTACAAGCAATTAGAGGACCATTTTGTAATCGCAAGTAACTTTAATGTAGCACATTAATAAATCATGAGTGAATAAGCATAATTAAGTAACTTTAAACTTTTAATTACATCAGAGCTCAGGTACAGTGACACCCAATGTGTTGAATTCAGGTAATTGCCATTTAGATGAAGATAAGGCATCTAAAGCAAAATGGTATCCGAGGGTTGCTCTTCTGTTTCTTTTATCCTCTTCAATTATTTTGTAATCAGTTCATGACTGGACAAGTAACCAATAGTCCTACTCTGCAATATTACGTAAACCAGTCAGTAGTAAAGGACATATAATAGTGACCATTTGTCCTTGCTGTCCATGAAAACAATACGTTTTTGTTGTCTTATCTACTGGAATTTTGATTCCGAGAAGAATAGATTACTACTACTGGAAGCCAAATATTTGCAAATGCAACTTGTGCAACTGTAAAGTTGTATCACATTAATACATGCTAAACTGGTACCTTTCTACTTGCCAAAACATGAGCTGTATTGTCATTTGTAGATAAGCAGGAGTGTAGGTCAGGTAGCTTTCTGTGCCTTCTCTCTTTAAACTCTAGTTCTTCTCCGTCGTGTGTTAGGGAAAAAGTATAGTCGGTGTGTGTTTAAATCTTATCGATCGGGACGATGTGAGTGGCACACTATTATTTCACCTTTGAAACCAGGCAGAACTGATGGAATGAAAGTATCTTTTCTTGAATAAAAAGATAATTTAACTGTACAACAGTATGATTGATAGACATATTACGTTTGGATTTTCAAACCCTTCTGAATGAGCTTCAGGTTGTGGTTCTGATGTATTTACAGTACCAGTCAGGTTCATGGTTGTGACATAAATGCACTGTCCAGGATCTCATAGTCTTGTTCAAGCCTCAGATAATTACTAAGTTTGGGAATGTTTTTTGAATACTGCAAATACAATTTTTAGTGCCAAATTAATTCTTTAGAGTTGAACCAAATCCAACAATCCAGACTGAATCAAGAAAGGAGCGATAATTGATAGCTTGAAAGTGTTATTACAGATAAATTATAAAAAAAACTGGGAAATTTGAAGCTGCTTACTCACAGCTCTCTGTCAGAGGATTTTAAACACAGTATACAGTGGTGCAATTTGACGTGATTGACTTTGGGAGTAACAATTTGATAAATGTACAAAATGTAAACTTCTACACTGATTATAAGCTAAATCAAATTCTCAAGCACAATAGTGTATGCTAAAATTTCAATATTTAGTACCTCTCATTTCTGTGCAGGACTGACAACTTCAATTCCACTTCACAGCAAAGCAGAAGGGAAGGAAGGTACAAAATGAAAATGGATTCAGTGATGTGAAAACCAAATACTGTGATACTTTAGACAATGGTATTCATAGAATTTCTTGCATGCATAACATCCTTGTCATGGTAACAAACACACTGATGTGAATACGCCTCTGTTGTAGGTAATCAAATCTATTTCAGCTCATTACAGATATCAGATCTAAGCTCATAGATTTTTGGGCAGAGACTATGAAAGGGGAAATTGAATACGTAGTTCTGTTAATGGTTTAAAATGATTTGTTTAATAGGAACATTTGCTAGATATATGAATATTTCTATTGTATTCTAAATTACTGATTTTGGTAAATCCTAGCTATGGACTCCAAATCTTTATTCTCCCTTTATATCACAGAATGTACATGTTTTCAGATGTGTAAAATAAGTAATGTGGTGTTGATCGTAAAATGTATAGATGCCAATATAAGGGTGAAAGATGAAGCAAGAAAGATTATTGAGTACATCAATCCTGCATACTATGACCTCTACCTGGCTCTATCTCCTAAGGAAGTTGACTAATGATGGATAGAGCTTCACGAAGAATTCTCTTGAAGTTCTGCTTGCCTCTAAAGGCAATTGACTAAAATCTTCTGGAAACCAACGCAACATTATAATATTTAATCTTGAATTAGCTGGGTAAGGTGGTAAGTTAGAAATAAAATTATTTGCAGTGAAAAATCCATGATGCATATGATCACTTTAGTAGAATGAAATAAATGGTTTACTAAAGGAGATCACCCTTAAGGTTAATGCATAACATGTACTCTTAAACATGTGCAGGAAGCCAGAATTTTCAGAATCTTAAAAATGTGTATCTAATATAGCTACAGGTGCTCGAGATGGAATGGCATCACTGTTATAAGCTATAAATTGAGCCTTTCAGATTTAATAGGAGAGTCATAAAACCAAGTTTGATGTCATAGTGGGTCAGATTATTTACAGCCAGGGACTCGTGAATAAATTGTGATTTGTGCAGAAAACTCTGGTGATATGCATTCTGATTCTGAAAACTCATACATTATTAAA